GTGTATTGTGCTGGTGTCTCTACCACATGGCTGAAAGACATAATTCTATGAAGATTTTCTATTTATGCTATCCGTTTGTATATTTTTGTCGTACTGTTTATTATCAGATTTTAATGCAATGTATCATTATAGTTATAAATGTCATTTTTGTAGAAGTAACCGTAGCAATGTTGTTAATTCTATGTACTTTGTTTCAGAAGTTTATCCGTGTATTTTGTAATGTTTGGTGTGAGCGCAGCACCTTTCTTCGATATATCAACAGTACCTTTATGTAATAAAGATGTAAAGAAAACAAAATTTCTTTTGGGTATGTAATCTATATTTTTAGTAGCAATATTTATTATCATATCTTTAAGTTGTGTTATTTACTTTTTATATAGATAAGCCACTACATAATTGCTCATTAAATGCGTCAGCAATCAGAGCAGAAGTTTCTACCTTGAGATCCGACTTCAATCGTCGTCTGAAACGAGCTTTATTTGCATCTTCTAGTAGTGCTTACGTATGTGGTATCGCACCGATTATATTTGTGCCACAACATTTACATTTTAATGTTTCGTGGGTTGTACAACATGTCATTATGTTTTGGCTTGGAAGGATAAGTGCGCACTTTTCTCAGGCTTATCCAGTTAGGTACATGATATATGTACTAGTTCACGTATATCTGTTATATTTATTAAATTATATTATTATTTTGTTGTTTTGAAATGTGAATGTTGTATTCAAAAATTCATTTCCAGACATCTGATGAATACCCTACTTATTTAGGTACTGCGATGTCTTACATAGAGCAGCATTACATCTAGGCCGTTGGGTTAAGATTGAAAATCGCAATAATCATACCTATGCTCAAACATGGAATGATTCAGTTTTGTGGCCCCATGGCTCGATAGTGAGACACAATAAGGAAATTTACCGTTCGGAAGGTTTATGTACAGTGGCAGAACCAGGAAATTCAAATCACTACAGATTCTATGTACATTCAAACAATATTAACTTATTTTATTATGAATTATATGATTGTACTTTAGTATACATATATTTTTTTTCTATATTTTCTCCAGGCTTTATTCAGTAATCCCACCATGCTGCTTTGTTCGTTACTGGGCTTGCAGCTACTTCTCGTGGGCGTTCAGTTGTTCATTTTACTACGTACTACTGATTGGTATCAAGTGTTATCAATAACATTACTCCTTCTAATTAATTATTATACTTTATTTAAAATAATTCGAGATTATCTCATTTGTTCAAAAGTGTATCACGCGGAGCAAATAATACAAGAAAAATCTCAAATATGTTCGTATTCTACCATTCAATAAATAAATAAAAAAAAAAGCCAATTTATGTGATATTATATTTACTCTTTACTCTTTCCATTGTATTACCACCTATGTCTTTTATGAAGGTACAATTCGATATTTCCGGGTTCCGCTTAGGTCATAAATGAATAATGGAAATCAATGGTTAGCAGGCCTATAAGGGTGGTAAAAAGGAGGGTTCAGGATTTCCAGAACAGATAGTACTTATTACGTCGAAGAAAATGAGTGGAAATATTAATATTTCCGGAATTATAATATAATTTCCGTGTTTATTAAAAATTTATTTCCCCATTTGGCGAGTCTTATCTACTCTGCAAATTTCGAATCTTCTTTTTTTTTTAAACCCCCCGTAGAGAACGAGGAAAAGAGAGATAATTTTTTAAATATTTAACATTTGCAAGAGCACAACTCGCAATTCAGATAACCGTGGGTTGGAAAAATAACTTTAACATTGTATCGTGATATATGTATGTTTAATAAAAGAACAAGAGTTTCATTGTTACTAATAATGCGTGTAACTTTAATATTTTTTACGATCGCAAATATTTATAATAAACTGTTATAGTAAAATGGCAGGAAATTCAATGCGGAATACTGTTAGATTAGATTAAGTCTGATAGACTGGTAATAAAAATATCAAGCGACAGAATTGTGGCTCAATGGCTCTAGATTTCTCAAGGCATTGTTTTCGAGAAAATTGACTTTGAAAACGCATGGTTTCCACATGCAATAAAATACGATCTCGGTATCAGTATAAGTAAAAACAGTGAGTAATGGACAAACGTGTCAGACAAATCGTGTTCAATCTCACGTTCATCTGACAAATTTTCAAATTCAATTATCATGTGAAAAAAGTTTCTTTCACATTTTTTCGATTAATTTTTTCATTTAGAATCGCTCCTTTTTTTCTTGTACCACGATTACCGAGGCACTCTGTATAAGTTCAAAAGGACCATTTATTACAAGTTTAAATGATCTCGACAATATTTCTGAATCAAATACAGACTGGATATTATTACAATACACATTATTATATAACATATTTTTATAAACAAAAGTGGGGAGATTCAATACTATGAAACAGCTAGAAAAATTGTAAAAAATTGTTCTGTTTAGAAATGCTCCAGCTTTGCTTGCATTGTTTTCAAAGATACCATAAAAGATTGATGTAATATAATTTTTGTATGTATAAATTAGTTATAAAGTTATAAAAGTCCTACTAATTTCATAAAAAACATTTGGTCGTTCTGAGAATCATCCATGAAGGTATTTGGTCATCCTGACAATCTCTGACGGGTTTGAACCGTCCATGAGCCTAACTCGGTTGAAATTTAATATTTTTACTTCAAATAACCACCATTATGATCAACACACGTGTGTATTTGTTTCACGCGTGCGGATGTCTTGATCTCAAGAATCAATAAATTCCTGGAGAGCGAGTTCAATGTATTTCTGTTGTTGGAAGTATAACTTTTTTCGGAGAAGGGACAAAGGGGAAAAAATAGGTGGGGGTAAAGTGGAGATCATTTAAAGTACGAGGTAAAACTTTGGTACCTAGTTGGAGTAAATCTTGCGTTGAGGAACCACCTATTGAACCTTTGCTGTCTTCTCCATTTCAAGTAGACCGTTTCAAAAGCTATTAGGTAGATCATCAAGATTTAACTCTTGGGTTAAATCTACGTGAGTTTTTAAAAAATATTTTCTTTCACCAGTTTCTTCAGCACATTATGGAATTTAAAGGCGATGCATTACTAGGCATCTTCAAAGTTCACATCTTCGTGTCTGTATATTATGTATTTTAAATTATAGATCTCCATTTTAGATCAATTCGTGAGATTCATTGATAAAAAGCAAGACCACTTTGTGAAAATTGCGAATTTTTTTCCTTAAAAAATTAACATAGTATATAAAATTTTTCTGTTCTGTCTTTTTGTTTGAAAACGTTTTGCGTGTATTGTGATCTAGGGGGAGACGAATATCGCTACGAGTTGCATTGATTCTAGTTACGCCGTTGCGTTGTAGTCCTTGAGATGAGAAATAAAAAAAGTCCTTTATCATTTTGTATTATTTTGTATTAAAAAGTATGGCGATGAACGTGTATACAGTGGTGAATTTTGAAGATGTCGCAAGGTCACGCGATAGATGTAAAATGGCGGCGAGTGTTTCGTGACCTCGCGATGGACACAGGTGTTCACTACAACTTGCGAGAGCCATAGTTGGGAATTATTTAATAACTTCGTATAAATATGTATCTAGATAGTTAAGAGCTAAAATTATTTTATTCTGATGTTATGGATTTTGTACAAATTAAACTATGTTATGATCCGCGTGACAATAGTGGAGTTTGTCATCGTTTTATTATCTTCGAAATTGTTTCAAAACTACAGATTCCCGTGCTTATTGCTCTTTTTAAAGGAATACAAACAAAATTTCTATAGATTTTAGAAATATTAATAAATACGTGTTACGAATTCCTAAAAAATGATCAAAAGAGTAAAAGTACTCGGTTTTACAATAGAATACAGTAGAATCTTCTTAAAAAAGTAATCATTTGAATCTGCTATCCATTTGGGTCTGTATTTTTGAAATAATTTTGAGAATTACAAAATGATTTAAACTCTACTGTTATTATATGGACAATATATTTTAATTTTAATGAAATCCATATCAGGAAGAAAGTGATCGATTTAGCGCAGAATGAAAGAATTTTATCTGGATAATCATCTAGATCAAGATTCAGGCGAAGTTAAATAATGGCCAATTATGGCTCTTAGTAGAACAGTGGATTTTGTTGTTTTACATACATGTGTATTGTGAGGTTACGGGACACGTGCCATCGATTAATTCATTTTCCCCTGACCTCCCGTTAACTTTAACGAGTGTTAGTATACATTTGCAGAAGGAAAAGTTGACAAGAAAAATAGAACATAAATTCTAGTCTGGCGCAAGTGATGACACATTTATTAAGCACGATGATACTGCTACGTTAATGAGAGAGGCGCTTCTCTACTTACATTGCATTGATTGCGAAACTCGCGTTGTCCAAATGACTCGACGATTTCGCAAAATATTCAAACATTAATTTTCATTTTTAAATTAACGGCCAGTCTGTTCTCACAACTTGGCAAATTCGAAAAAAATATTTTCAAACACTGTTTCCCTTATTCGTTTTGCACTTTACATACAAACGAAATATTTCAAATAAACATTTGTATCATTCAAATAAAATTAATGCTTTTCGTTCCAATCCTCACGCTAGCAGTAATAGCATTTTATGCGTTAATATGTAATTTCTAATTCAGTTAAGCGAATAAATGTTACAATTAGTAGACAAAAGGAATATTCGAAGGTTAAATGAATCAGCTTTAAGCTATTGATGTGTGATACTTTTATTTAACGAATATGGTCGTTGTACCGTGTCAATAAGAAATGTTTCCCTTTATTTTATAACATTTAATGTAACTGGAATGTATCCATTTATTTAATTGAGTTCCATTTGTTTTATATTTCTGACATGAATAATGTGAATTCTAAATGATACATATCTGTTTACTTTCAATGCCATATATTATAATTAAAAGAAAGGCATTCTGTCAGTGTTAGAGTACTGCGCGTGCGTCGAAGCTATTCAAATAATTGTTATTGTTTGCCTTTAATATATAAGAAGAAATTTTCAGATATGACGTGGATTCTTAGTGGTATTATCATGATGAGTTTCCTACTGTCGATTGTTTTCTGCTCTACGCTTATCCTTTCTGGTGTGAACAATTTCCTTTTAATTGCTTCTTATCTACTTTAATCGAGTGTTTTTTTTATAAGCCGTAGACAGTAAAATGAATATATAGTAAATTATAATAAATTTTAATTGTCTGTTATTTAATTTTTTACAGTAGATGTTGAAGTGGTACTTGGATCGCATGTAGTAGCTGGCTATGTACCCGGGATCAGCGGTATTCCAAGAATAAACAAGACAAATTGTTTAAACGATGAGATTCTCAAGGATCGATCTCTGTCGGATGCTCTCGAATGTGCTCGTACATGTCGCAAAGGAGAGCCCCGAAAAACTTGTTATTACCGTTTCGTCGTTGAACGTTATCCTGTCAATGGCCAGTAAGTATTCTCGAGAAATTCTAGCTTTAATAAATTTTCATCGTCGAAACGTAATCTTTAATTCTTTGAAGTCTCATCTGTCGTTTACGAAGTTATACCTTATGAAGATTGTTCCTTCGCAAGCGTCTCGGTGACTGTTCAGAGTAAAGAAGCGAAAAGATTCAGTTTTATTTAGTTTATTATTTCAACGCACGCACGTTAATTAAGATGGACGACTCAATCTTTTCCAGAGCGTGCCAATACTGCAATCCAAACTTTACCAATACAATGTGCGCCGATTGTCAGTGCATAATCGCTAATGGAGTGGAGCGAATGGGTTTGTCCGTGAACAGAATGATCCCAGGGCCGAGCATACAAGCCTGCCTCGGTGATCAAATCGTGATCGATGTTACGAATAATATACAATCCGCTGCATTAACGATCCATTGGCACGGTGTTTTTCAACGGGGCACTCAATACAACGACGGTGTGCCTTTCGTGAGCCAGTGTCCAATCCCACCTGGAACTACTTTCAGGTAACGAATATTATACACCGGATAATTAATGTGCTTTATCGTATTATTCGTTAAATAAATTGGGAATATTCAGCGAAGGGTGGAAACAACAAACGTTCCTCAGAGTCAACAGTAGAACCATCGACAGTCATAGTGTATCTATTTGTACCAAAGAAATTAAAAGGATAGATACAGGGTGTCCCAGCTAAAGTGTGACAGTCGCGATACTGCAATAACTATTGATGATACGGAAAGATTGTTTATATGAAAATTGCAGGATAAAATAGGATCTTTATTCTGGCGTAAACGGAAATTTTATTTATGTTATTAATTTCAAAGATACGATGATGAAGTTTCGTTTTTTAAATGGAACTATATATTTTTTTTTGGATCATGCGATAGTGTTTTTCAATACGAATTCATTAACCTGCAATTTATTTACCCGATTTTCATTAGTTTTCAAGATATAACGCTTGGAAATTTACTGATTTTCTGCGAAGACGTCTCGGCTTGAGTGGCAAGTCATAAAAGCGGCCCTATTGTTGCGCTGTTTGACTCCGCCTGTTGAAACCGATAGCAAGGGTCTACGCTCGGAACGGCAGGCCCGAAGAGTCAGAAACATGAAAAGTATTGTCCATCACGATTTCGTGAATTCGCAAGGATAAGGAATATAAAATTGATTCATAAGAGAACTCATAAAACGTATTAAACAGTGTATTTCAATATATTGCAGCGGAACAGCAAACTCATAAAAGACCAGCGGGTCTAATTAGGTATTTTCGGGAAAGTTGGAATTTCTATTAGCGGTAAAATGTAATAGATGTATTATTTATGTTTGGCAAGGTCCAAGTTTTTCCATCATACAACAAGAGTTATAAAACACCGCTACAAAGCACTGCAGACTTAAAGCTGTGTGTGAAAATATTCCAACGGACATTCTAATAAACGTGGAAAAGAAACTTGTAAAACGAATTGAAACATGTATTTCGAATGGCAGGAGACACGTAGAATAAATTTTTTGTATAATAAAATTCAGCTAAAACATTTAAATAAATGTTCCAATCATCCAAATTATTAGCGACATCACCATCCTCGATGCGACAAACTTAAATCGTGATGGACAATACTTTTCATGTTTCTGACTCTTCGGGCCTGCCGTTCCGAGCGTAGACCCTTGCTATCGGTTTCAACAGGCGGAGTCAAACAGCGCAACAATAGGGCCGCTTTTATGACTTGCCACTCAAGCCGAGACGTCTTCGCCGAAAATCAGTAAATTTCCAAGCGCTATATCTTGAAAACTAATGAAAATCGGGTAAATAAATTGCAGGTTAATGAATTCGTATTGAAAAACACTATCGCATGATCCAAAAAAAAATATATAGTTCCATTTAAAAAACGAAACTTCATCATCGTATCTTTGAAATTAATAACATAAATAAAATTTCCGTTTACGCCAGAATAAAGATCCTATTTTATCCTGCAATTTTCATATAAACAATCTTTCCGTATCATCAATAGTTATTGCAGTATCGCGACTGTCACACTTTAGCTGGGACACCCTGTATACAGGGTGTAAACGATAACTTTGGCAAAAATCATAGGGTAAGTAGAGGCCCCATAGGCAAGTATTTTAAGCATGGGAACCCGTGTCCGGAAACGCACCAGTAAAAAATTACGGCGATCTTTAACTTCGGTCTTTAGCTCCTGATGGATAGAAAACCCATCGTACTGGAAACTGTTTCTTTTGAGGTGGGTCAGTCGTGTAGGTGACAAAGATGACAAACATTGAAAGTTTTACGATGAACAACGTAAACATTTAATGAAATCATGGTCAAGAAACAATAAACTAAAAAAAGTTTGCCTACCCATCAGGCGCGAAAGACCAAAATTAAAGATCGCCGTAATTCTATACTGGTGCATTTCCGGACACGGGTTCCCATGCTCAAAATATTTGCCTATGGGACCTCTAATTACCCTATGATTTTTGCCAAAGTTATCGTTTACACCCTGTATAACTCAATGGGAATAAATATTTATTCATTCTCTTATAGAAAATTTGCGAAAATTCAGTCGAGTAAATTTGTAACAATTACGAAAATTTTGATCGGTTCTCCTTACAAATATGAACATTCTACTACAACTAAACTAGTGATTAATGGACCTAATGAATTTGGGTTGTAAATCCATTAATTACTAGTTTATTTGTAGTAGAATGTCCATATTTGTAAGGAGAGCTAATTAAAATGACCCATTCGTAATTTCTAATAAAAATTGTTACAAATTTACTCGACTGAATTTTCGCAAATAAACTACTGATTAATGGACCTAATGAATTTGGGTTGTAAATGCATTAATTACTAGTTTATTCGTAGTAGAATGTTCATATTTGCAAGGAATAAATATAAGTAATTATCGTGGAAATATTGATATTCAGGTAGAACGTTGAAGTAAAGAGTAATGTTTCTCGCAGGTATAATTATTTTGCAAATAATGCTGGTACTCATTTCTGGCACGCTCATACGGGGTTGCACAAGATGGACGGTGTTTTCGGATCGTTAATATTCCGGGAACCGGAAGAAAATGACCCCAACTCGCGGCTTTACGATTTCGATTTAGCAAATCACGTGATCGTTATTAACGACTGGATGAACGAAGAAGCAACGGAACGATCACCTGGACGTAATACTGGCGTTACTCGTCAGCTTCCTGATGCAGTAATAATCAATGGAAAGGGGCAATCTCAGGTAAAAATATTTTTATTTTAACCTTGCGATTAGTCTAATTAGTGTGTTTCCAATGTTTTAGAATCTGATTATTTACATTATTTTGTGAACAGTTGCTAAAGACGATATTAATTCTAATTAATTCCGATTACAATTTATTTTGCAGTACGCTAACGGCACTGTGACATCCAATAATGTATCTGTTATCACGGTGGATCCCGGTAAACGTTATCGGTTCCGTTTAGTTAACGCTTTCTGTAGTACCTGCCCAGGTGAATTTTCTATCGAAGGACATGCTCTTACTGCCATCGCGTCAGATGGCGAGAACTTCAAACCCAAAATAGTGAATTCCATCATTTCGTTGCCAGGTACATCTCGAATAAATAGTTTGAACAACGTTATCCATTAAATCGTATTAATTCTATTCCAATATGGACTATTTTATGGACTTAACATTGCAACCTTTCGAGTTTTCTTAATTCTTACCAAAAATTTCTAATTAATAGATGGTTAATATTAATCTCTGGTGTTTAATTTATTCATTTTGTTTCTTATGGAAGTCATTTGATTTCACATGCAGGGTGTTTTATGAGAGAATTTAGTTTACACTATTTTAATAGGAGATTCTAGAAACCAAAATAAGGTGAAAATGAAGAATATCAATTTAGTGATAGAGGCTTCGTTAAAATGTTATTAAAAAATTTCAAATCGTTTTAAAAAAATTATTTTCGGTTACAGGGGTCAATTACAATTATTTTTGGTCAATACACATACCCTCGAAATCCTGCGCACTTTTGAGAAAAAAATTCTTTACTGAAACTGCAATGTCTGATCCTGACATTCCCATTTCCCTGAAATTTCAAAAAGTTTCAAATCATTCTGGAAAAATTATTTTCGGTTGAGGAGACCAATTACAATCATTTTCGGTGAATACACATATCCCTGAAATCCTACGCACTTTTGAGAAAAAAATTCGAATAGGTGGACAAATTTGTCGACAAAATTAACAAATTTCAAATCGTTCTGGAAAAATTATTTTTGGTTGTGGGGGTTAATTACAATCATTTTTGGTGAATACACATATCCCCGAAATTCTACTCATTTTTGAGAAAAAAATTCTTTACCGAAAATATACTTTGTGGTTTGGGAATGTTTTTATAACTTTTTAACGAAGCCTAATCAATAGATTGGTATTCTTGATTTTCGTCTTATTTTGGCCTCTAGAATCTCCCATTAAAATTTTTTCAGAGATGGCGGAACACCGCGTATATGTAGTTTTCGAATTGCACAAAAGAAATAAGGTTCCTTTTCAGAATATGCATTTTATTTTTTTGCAGGAGAACGATACGATTTTGTGTTACACAGTAATCTACCCCCCGGTTCTTATTGGATACAGCTTCGTGCGTTAGGCGATTGCACAAATTCGAGTATTCAATCGGTAGCTATATTGAAATACACTGGTATTTCTGTGAAACCACTCATACCGCCGCCATCTTACAATAGAATTTTCACCGGAGTCGTAAGTAATTTATTACTAGACTGCGGATGTTTATGCATTTATGGGAAATTTCAATTTTCAAAAAGCTACAGATTAATATGCAAAAATATAAGAAATAGTTAAAGCAAGATACGAATTATTATATTTAGGGGTTGAGACAACCCTCTGCAAAGCTCCCATTTCATTAATTCAATTAAAAAATATGACTTTGCACAAAGATCCGCAGCTCATTTATTACACATCGTTGATTTAAATATTGAAAAATATATTTCTTCGAAGACTGTCGTTTTATTTTTAATACGAGGGAATATCTTTTGTCGATAGACTTTGAATGCAGTACAGAGCAGCTGCAATCTTTTGGATCCCACTCAACTTTGCATCAACGCTTTGCAAAATGCCAAACCAATCGATGATGCTATCAGAAGAAAACCGGACCTACAATTTTATTTACCGATAGGATTGCTTAGATATTCGCCGCAGGACATATTCAGGCCCAATACGTACAATAATTTCCAAGGTATATTTTGTTGAACAACCTTTCTAAATTGTATCCCCGGTAACAAAACGAAACTGTCGATAAACACTTTTTTATTCTGACTTGTTGAACAGTGCCTGTACCCTATGTGCCTAGTGTGGCATTGGTAGATGGAATATCTTATACGCCAGCGCCTTCTCCGCCGATTTCGCAATTGCAGGACCTGCCACCTGATCAATTCTGTGATTCTCGTCATTTGCCAGCCAGATGCAGTAGAAATAACACGTGCTCGTGCACGCATATGCTACGTATCCCATTGAACTCCGTCGTAGAAATCGTCATGGTCGACAGTTGTAAGTAATACTCTGCCTCGTTCAAGTATAAAACAAGCAGAACGTTTCGAATAGGATTTAGGAGGGAAGAATTTTTTATTATCAATTCCAAATAAATAGATATACTCTCCGTCTTTTAATTCAATTAAAAATTCAATTTGTTTCATGAATCGGTTAAATTTGCATTTTGGAATCGAACTTTCTGAAACTTTTCGAACGTACGTTTCGTTTTGAGATCAAACAGTAAAATCCCGTATTGTGTTATGATTACAGTTAATGTGTCGAATTTGGAGCATCCCTTCCATTTGCACGGATATGCGTTCAATGTTCTTGCAATGGGTCAGCCTCTTGGTCCCATTACCAACGGCACCAATGTATTGACTACGGATTACGTGAAGAGACTTGATGCAAATAAGCAGATACGAAGGAATTTGATCGATCCGCCTGCCAAAGATACCATTGCAGTACCAAATAACGGATACGTCGTATTCAGGTTCCACGCGACAAATCCGGGTACGTAATACGTTTTCTAATCCATTTTTGTTTCGAATTAATAATTAATAATTGTGCGTTGCTTATTTGAAAATTTTATATAATTATTAATAGTGTATTTTAGATTCACAGCATTTCTTTAATTTTTCACATGTAAGTTATCTTGAAACGTCCAAGGAGAAAATTCACCATTTGTTTTAAAATTTAAGCTTATTCAAGTAATTATAATTTAATTATATTTATCCAAAATATAAAATTTTATTCAAAGGCGACAGTTTCAAAACATCGTACATTTGACAAATGTTACATTACATTTTTTACGACGATATTTACATGTACAATAATCGCCAATAGACTTATTGAGCTTGAGTCAACGTAGACACTAATAATAGACGCGATAATATTATTTTATTGCAATTATCGTAATTGTCAATGTTAGTTCACGACTTCCACGAAATAGTATTATTTACATTAGTCGTCTATTCGTTACTTTTACGTACGATTAATCACTATTTTCCGTTTGCAGGGTATTGGTTCTACCACTGTCACTTCATTTACCATCAAATGGCCGGTATGGAACAAATTATACACGTTGGAGAACAAAGCGATCTGCCGCCAGTGCCGCCGAATTTCCCAAAATGTGGCAATTTCAAACTGCCGATTCATCAACCGGTTTAAAAATAATTTGAATCATTCAACAAAATTAAATTACGCTCAATGAGAAACGAACGTTTTTCACATACAAAGTGTTTTTGGTAATTGCGTTCATCACATCATCGATTTATCGCTATTGAAATTCCATTTACATAGATTACAGTCGACATCGTTATGGCACGTATTAGTTAAATGAAAGCCATACACTATACGACAAGTCATACTTGTAAGATTTTGTAAATACAGTCATCTTTTCGTCCTAGATAGGTTTTTATATTGAATAAAGTTGGTTTTGATTTAATTTCGTTTTTCAAGTAAATAGTGCACCCACTTTACTTGCAACTTCTCACCAGCAAACAATGTACTCCACATTCCCACAAACATTTCATTCTCTTTTATTGTCTTCCGTCAAACTTTTTAAATCTTCCCCTAGCCCACCATCATACTTTTCTATTTAAACAATTTTTTAAGCGTACTTCCTTGGCTCAAGTCGAATTCCAATTTACTTTTATATCGAAACGAAAGAGATTCGGTTTATTTGTTCATGTCCAATTATTATATTCTTTTTAAATCACTGTATCGTTAGTGTCAGTTCACTTCCGGTTATAATCTTCATAAGTTTCGTTAAGTACACCAGTAATTGAACACGGAGACCGCATGCACTATTGAGATACGATATGATGGCAAATTACCTGTGAACTGAACGACACGAGAGGCAAAGGGAATCGTAATCCCCTCTACTTCTTAGGTTTCTGGTTATTATGGGGTAAGTTGATCACGAACAAAGTCCCTAAAAAAACCAAGAACCTAAACATTGAAGCGTACGGATGATTCTCTTTGCCCCTTGCGTCGTTTAGCTTGTGGATGATGTGCCAATATCACGTTCTCTAATAATGCACAATTCTTCTCAAAACGTTTTAGACATTTATCGTACCAGATGTATCATTGTCAATGGTGCTTAACATTGTTGTGATGTTGTTCGTTAATATACGTTGTTTGTATCTGAATTTGAGATTAAATGAAAAGTGATTTTTATAAGGTCAAATGTATGTATGTCAGGATAAAAATTGATTTAACGTACCATTGTCAATGCTACTTAAAATTTTTGTGATATTGTTCGTCAACATACGTTGTTTGGACCTGAATTTGAGATTATATGAAAATTTTTATAAGATTAAATGTTTATGTCCCAGGAGTGTTGCTGTTGCGAGTAACAGTGTAGTCCACTTGTTTAAGCGCACGTCGACTGCATTCCCTGTGCTATAGTTTTGTGATGTAATGTTATTTATCCAATCTATGTAAGGATATACTCTGGTGTACACGTCAGGATATCCCTTTGCACATGGATAACCGTACGAAACGATTCCGACTTGTGAGCCACTCACGACCATAGGGCCACCGGAGTCACCCTGTAATAAATAAAGCTAATTAAATAATTCGAATTAGTCGGTCAAAATTTATTAGGAAATTCTAGTAAATGCTCCGCCAGTGCAAAAATAATCGTAGTGGTAGAATTTCGTTATCTAAGATAAAATTCGTGCGATAGTATTTGCTGACCAGTATCAATGAATTTCAGTTTATTTTAGAAATGACTCGTAATTGCTCATTTTGTATCCACCGCAAATAAAATGATAAACGACGAACAAAATTACACGTGCAGCGTTTTCATGTAACGTAACACCTTCGTTGCGTAAATATATTTGTATCCTTAATTAAGCAAGTCTGGGGAAATCGTTGCTTAAAATATGAAACATAACACGTACATTGCAAACACCCTCGCCGATCTTGGTCAACGTACAGATATTAGTTTCTGTCACCGACCAGTATTTATCCTTGCATTCTTCTTGTGATATTACAGTCAAGTAAATCTCTTGCAACAAGTTAGATATTACATTATCAGTCTAGAAAAAGAAATTTTATTTTCTTCCTCCATTTTCGTCTTGTTCTTTCTTAACTCGATATTACGTTTCTTATGTAATCTTGGTACAACAAAGAGGCACTTATTACGATAAATAACTAATAATGTTACTTACAGACAATCTTCCCCAACCAGTGACAACAGCAGTTTCGCCTGGATTAATATCATATACAGGCGCGAGAAGGATAGGTTGAACTAGTTCGTTGAATTCAATGCCTCCATTCACGCGTATTAATCCGATATCGTCAATAATTAATTTGTCGTCGTAGGAAACAGGGTAAAATAATTCTGCAGCTTGATAATATACTCCCAATTGCTTTAAATAATTACTTCCAACGACGACTTTGATGCGATCGGCAGATACACTGTAAAATTTGATCGTAACGTTAATAAAATGATTAAAAGTTATTGTAAAGTACTGTTTACGTTTTGGAAAGTTGTTAGGTCGATCACAGGCAGAGTGTGAGAATTTCTTCTTGGTTTTTTTATGGTCACTATAGTATAGTGCGATAATCTATCATGAAGGTAGTCGTCTCAAATTTTCCTTATATACTTATAATACGCTGGTTAAACAAAACTTACTAATAAATGCAGTGAGCAGCGGTGAGGATAAAGTACTTGTTAATAATGGACCCTCCACATATGTGTCTAGATGATTGTCTTATTGATACTTGGTAAGGATATTTACCCCATGCAGCAACTTGACCGCCAACGATACGTGGATCCAGCTTACCTGAAAGAGTAAAAGAGTAGAATTAATAAATAAAGCAAGTCGAATTTGTAGATAAGATTCTAATAATAATCGGTAACTAACAAATGCATCTTTCGAATGAATTTCGGACTACGTAGGACGTAAGTTAAAAGAACTTACCATTGGCAACGATAACCGAGCCAAAGACTAAAAGAACAGCTAACGCATTCATGGTCATAGAGACAGAAAGACTGCCACATTCTGCTAATCTATTTACACTTGTATACCTTGAATTCATTGATTGGCACGATTAAAGTGAACGGAATGATAAAATTTACGCTTAATACTCGGTTACAGTAATCAGCTTTTTCCTATAATTATTAAAAGTATTCGGCTACCAATGATAATTCTTTTTCTCTTTACGTAATATTTAATTTTCTCTTAGATTTATTTGAAACATATTTTTAAACGTTTATACGTCCCCGAACATATATCGAACAAACCAAAGAAGCTACAAGAGTAATCTAACAATCTAAACTAATCAGATAATATGTTTCCACTCTTGAGTTGAGTAATATATCGAATATAGAGAAATGTTTCGAGAAGTTCAGCATAGTTGGTGGTAGTACAGTGGATAAAACGGTTAGACCATTAGCAGTAGGCTAAGCCCTGGAGATCCCAAATTCGAATTTCTTAATTAGAAGTCTCAAATTTAAATATAAGGTTTTCAAGTTTGCAGCAGAAGACGTCAGCTGCGGAATCTTTAGTTTTAAGATGTCTAGATTTAAGTTTAGTCTAAGCTAGTCTTAAGGTCACGGTATACCTCTATTTTTAAGGGAAACAAAAGATGTATGTTATAAAGGCCCCGGGCGTCGAAGCATCTAGGTACAGCCTTAGTATATTTGCTAATACTGGCGGTATCGATGAAGTATCCGATAGATTGGACCACAGACGAGATATATGAATATGTATATATTATTTGTCGTCGGTTGTCATGCCGACTAATACAAACAAGAGAAAAAAGCAACGATCGTGGACTGATGCAACGCAGAGCCACAGATATGTACATATAGACAGAATTCATTGTAGTAGTAGCGATATTTTTGAAGAAAAATCTCGGAAACTAAGGCCGAGCGGCGGTTATATGTATAGGAAAAAGTTGCTCAAAATGTTGATTTCTACAACATATTCAAAAATCATCGAAATCGGTGAGACCCGGCCTTTTCTAAATAATTACCTCATTTTCTTTCAATAATTCTCCATTGCAAAAATTCTACAGTATTCTTACATTTTTTTATATTTTAAAATTTTCCCATGTTATTAGAAAGTAGATATACAACGAAAGTTATACAATTTATAGTTCCTAGCATGTATAACATGTATATGTATGTATATGTATAACGCATGGTCGCTTCGTATGGAAAGTCAATGAATCTTCAAAAAGCGCCCAGGTCCGATTTCGAGAAATGTAAGGTCTGTCAGTCACGATGGCTTTTGTCGTTTACTGACGATTCGAACGGTTGGCGATGCCAGGCAGGCTTGCTTTCGAGAAATGTAAACGAAGTCAGCGATGCAAGAGCGAGAAGGAAAGCGAGTATCAGCCTGTTCTTCTCGGCTCTTCCGAAACTCAACGAGCTCACGTACACGCAATTGAGCATAGTGTGCGAAAGCGAGGAATGAGGAGTTTCCGGGGCCCCGATGCACAGTCTGATTAAACTGATTTCGAGTCGCAAATACGTTTCTGCCGAGTTATTTTTTTAATAAATGATGTATTACAATTTAAAATAAAAAATAGAGAATTTGCGGTGTACGTATCAATGAAATACATCCTTATGAATTTTAATAATCTTGAAATTTTTAAATACTCTAAATCGATTGATTTCTCCAATGAAATTAATCGATTAATGTCCAATGATGGACCCTACAGCTTTAATTCCGTTAAAAAATAATAAAATTTATGTAGTTTTATTTTCTGTCTCACTTCCTCTTGTGTTAAATTCTGAATCTGTTGATAACGTAGCGAGTGACACGAAAATGGTAATGGGGTCCCGGGACCCCAGAAACTCCGGCCGAAAAATTACATTACGTGAAACGTCTATTCATATATCTCGTCTGTGATTGGACTTTTAATGCGAGTTATCATTAGGTATTAATGGGTTTGCAGCACACTCTGTGCTGAAAAACGTCGACTTTCAAAATCACGTTCGATCCAATCACCGAAGTCGGTAACTTAGGCTTTCAGTATCTTGTTTGTGAAATATTAAATTACCATTATTTGAATATTTTTATATTCTCGTTCCAACAGTTGTTGAAAACAGACGCGTAAAATTTTGCATTTACAACAAAACTAATCATAGAAGTCGTGGAAAAGATTGTGGATACATTGTAGATGTTATATCGATGTTCAGAAAAAATGATTATATAAACATAAGCACCGATAATGCGTTTCGTTTACGTCGATCTCAATATTTGTTGAATTATAGGGAAACGAAAAGAAGGTGATAATTTGCGGAGAAACTATATATTTTATTAAAGAAGCATTGGCAAGATTAATCGAAACAAATTAGTACAGGATAGATTTAAGTTATTGTTCGAACATATCATCAAACCTTGGCTCAACATTTTCCATATCAATTTCTTCAGATTGTGGCTCGTTATCATCTTGAATGAAAGACTGTTGTCCCTTGATCCAGTTCAAGTAGGAAGATACTCGTGTGTAGACGTCAGGACTTCCGACACCACATGGTCGTCCGAAGGATACGATACCAATTTGATTACCGTTGGCAACAAGGGGGCCACCAGAGTCACCCTGTAATAGAAGGAAACGGTAATTGTTTATAAATTCCATATGGAACGTTCAAAGGATCTTTAATAATTTATTAATAATTTCCACCTAGAATTTCAAGCGAATAACTTTCACTGCTACGAATGAAAAATGTTTCAGTAACCTAAACTCTTATTTAGTAGAAGTATTTAATATTATAAGTATTAAATAATTTAGAACGTAGTGTTTTAAAAATTATTCATCGATACCAAAATTTTAGTATTTGTTAAAATCAACACTGAAACTTACGTTGCATGCTCCCTGTCCTACTTTGGTGTACGTGCAGATCTGAGTGCTTTGTACGTTGCTCCATGTTTGAACGCAGCTTTTCTGAGACTCGACGCGCAAATCAGCGTACTGCAGTTTGTTGGGTACATTTCCGCCAGCCTGAAAACAAATTCCACATTGAACAAGCTTTCTCGTGCACCTTATTAAATTTATTTCCGTTTTGTATGAATAGATAAAAGTCAAATTATTATCGCGTTAGATTCTTTGATAACATTAGCATATACACAATTATATTTGCGATAAAAATAATTATCTTTATTTTGTGTTATTCTAACGGGCAGTCAATACTCGATTTTCGGTTTTTTTTTCTCTAAAATATTGTTCAGGTTGCGATTAGAAAATTCACTTCCGGTTAAGATGCGATCAAGAATTCATCAAGGCTGTAATTTAGAATAACTGACCTTCTGCGTTCCCCATCCAGACAGAACGCAAGTCGATCCTTCAGCAACGTTGCTCGAAGCAAGTGGTATAGTTTTAACCTTCGCGTTAAAGGCAATAGCTCTGTTGACACGAATTATGGCAACGTCATTGGCAATCGTGCGCGAGTTGTAGTTGGGATGGGCCACACCGCTCTCCACTCCATAAGCATCTCCTTGTTCGCTCAAAAGGTTTGTTCCAACGTGGACAGTAGCTTTACGAATGTCGGATACTCTGTAAGCAGACGGACGTTCACAATGGCAAAAGATAATTACAATTGACAATCAAAAAAGAACAAACACAAACGGAAGACTCGTTAGACAAATGTGTCTCTTGCTGTTGACGTTGATTCGATTTGAAAAGTACAATTTAATACGTAAAAATAGAATCTTAATCTTATCGCTGTTTCGATATAATATGATATTGATAGATTAATCGTTATTGTCTTTTGATTAGTAAGTTTCGTGATACTCACCCCTTGACGCAGTGAGCTGCAGTAAGGATGTAACGGGAGCTGATGATAGATCCACCGCAGAAGTGGTTTCCGTTGTATCGAAGAGAAACTTGGTAGGGGAACTTGCCGTCAGGTGCATCGAAGCCTCCGACGATCTGGCTTCCAGGGAATCCTAAATTCACAGAATCACAATATAGTTCTGCATTTCCAAATAGACATTTTTATTTAGTGCCTCCTTATTTCTATCCAGACACTATATTTTTGTCCACATTTTATGTGATTCACGCTGACCATTAGCTTAAATTTTACAGACATATAAAGTGAAACTAATATAGTGACAAACCGTAGCACTTTACAGAGCTGTTAACACTAGATTTACGGAAGCCGTCAATTTGACGGATGTTTGATTCCATATTTAAAATTAAAGAACGCGTAAATATTATTTTTTAACAACTTATGTTGAATTTGATTGATGCAATGGCATGAATACATATTCTAATTAAAAAAAAAATCGTAGTGTAAGGTAATCGTCAACATGAAAGGTATCAATAAATATTCGTGCGATCAATGCCCGTAAATCTAGTGTTAATGAGCTTTGTGAGTAGATAATCGAAAAGTAAGAGCATATGTACGTATGTGCAAAACATTTCGACATAAAATAAAATAGAAACTACAAATTATAACAAAATTTAAAATGTTTGTATGCTAGACCGTTGAATTTTATATTATATACAAGGTGTTCGGTCACCTCTGGAAAAAATTTTAATGGGAAATGTATTGTATATATAGGTGTTTAAATGAATTTTATTGCAATAAGAAATTTTTAAATCTAATAGAACGTTGAAGCTTGTAAAAATTTTCCAATTAATTGTTTTCACTTACCGTAAACGGAAACCGCAAGGCAGAGAGCTACAGCAATGCTTAGAGTGTGCATGTTGGTACGATTTACAATACTGGATCCAGCAACATCACGGATCAATTTATATACCCCCAAAAGCGTATATTCCATAGATAAAGATAAAGAAAATTCATTTTCTCGATGATACGAATCAGTACAATTATGGAGTACGACGTTTATGAAACTTAAAAATTCCAGAGTTTTGATTGTAAAGACAAGATCTAGACGATCTAGACGATCAAGTATAAGATTCTTTTAGAATCAGGAAGTAATAAATCTGATAAGAAGTATAATTCATCGCGTTTATTGAAGTTCTTTAATAGAAATATTTTGTGAGAACTTCAATCAATATTATCTTTCAATTATAGGCTCTTGTAGACTATCTTTTACCAATCGTTTAATTAAGATATATAGCCATGTGTGCGATTAAAGCGTAATTGGTAGACTTAATCAATTTTTCTACGATAACATACATACGTTTGTCATAGTTTTTGTTTCTGTGTATGAAAAATATTTTGATTTCTCGTTAACATCATACGTTATCGTCTTTCAAACGACTTTAGACTGTAACTGTTTCTGGAGTCTTTTGTAAATATCGTAGAGAAAATCAGTTGAAGTGAAAGTTCGTGCGTTTCTATTTTAAATAAATTATTGTATTTACAAAAAGTGATTTATTTTAACGATGCCAAAATTTACGACCCCTAACTTTGTTTTGAGTTATAAATCTTACATGTGATCAAGCATTGTTTTAATTGAACAAGACCCTTTTTTTTATTTTCGATAGATTCTTATCAATTGGTCGACAAACTTGTCCACCTATTCGAATTTTTTTCTCGTGCGTAGGATTTCGGGGGTGTGTATATTCACCAAAAATGATTGTAATTGACCCCCGCAATCGTAAATAATTTTCCTAGAACGATTTGAAATTTTATAATTTTGTCGACAAAGTCCACCTTCCCGAATTTTTTTCTCGTAAGTGCGAAGGAATTCAGAGGTATGTGTATTCACCAAAATTATTGCAATTAACCTTTGCAACGGAAAATAATTTTTTCAAAACGATTTAGAATTTTTTTTTGGCGAAAAATTTAGGCACCTATACACCCTTGTCGATTTTTCTTAAAAATTAGTTTTTCATTTTTAATAAATTTGTTTGACGCCCTACAGAGAAGTTGTCAAATACTTTTTTGTAGGCACCTATGAGTTCTATCTCAGAAAAAAATTTCATTGAAATATGTTCACTATTGTAGGAGTTATGGCCGTTTGAAAAGTGGACCATTTTTATGGGGTTTTTCTCATTTTATGGGATTAAGGAACAACTTTTCGAAAATTCTTAGAATTTCTGCATATTCTTCACCAAAATACGCATCGTTCGCATTTTTAAACATTAAAATCGCCCAATCCGTTCAGAAGTTATGACGTTTTAAAGATTCGCATGTTTCGGGCAGACATTTCTGGTCTGAAATTATATTTTCGGTAAGGAATTTTTTTCTCGAAAGTGCGTATGATTTTGGGGGTATGTCTATTCACCAAAAATGATTATAATTAACCCCTGCAACTAAAAATAATTTTTTTAGAACGATTTAAAATTTCTATTTTTATCGAAAAATTTATCCATTCATTGAATTTTTTTCTCGAAACTGGTTAGGATTTCGAGGGTATGTCTATTCACAAAAAATGATTGCAATTGACCCCCGGGACCGAAAATAATTTTTCCGTGAACGATTTAAAATTTTTGGATTTATTTTTTTAATAACTTTTTAACGATGCCTCAATCAACAAATTGACATTCTTGATTTTCGTCTTATTTTGGCCTCTAGAATTTCCCATTAAAATTTTTCCCAGGGAAGGCAGAACAGGTGCCCTGTTTATATTTTGATGAATGTAGGAGACAATTAATATATTCATTATTAATATAAAAATATAAGTTTTATTTCAGACAAATATTTCTGTATACACAATCACTAATATGCTTTACTCGAGCCAGTTTCAACATTTGTCAGTGGCAAAGTTGACTTATTTATTAAATGTAAGAATATCATCGATGATAACAAGTTTTCACTAGAATTTGATAGTTTTTAAAGACCAATAGCATTTAAGAAGTACAATCAGACAAGTTAGACTGTATCGTCATTAGTCTGTTCTTCGTGTAAGTCCAGAGTCAAAGATTCCTGTTGCTTGATCCATGACAAGAATGATGTTACTCTCGTGTATACATCAGGGCTTCCAACTCCGCATGGTCGTCCAAAGGATACGATACCGATTTGTACACCATTTGCAACAAGGGGGCTACCAGAGTCACCCTGTAACATAACAAAAAAACATTTAATACTATATATATTGAGATACTCAGAATATATTTTTTTCCAAATTCAGCATGGGTTCCAAATATTCACTATTTTTTCTGATAAATAAATTTGCGAGAAAAAAACAATTAAACTTACGTTGCATGCTCCTTCTCCGTATTTGGTAAACGTGCAGATGTGCGATTCACGGAGATTCCAGTGAGTCTGTTTGCACTTTGCCTGAGTCTCAACGCGCAAGTCTATGTATTGCAAATTATTGGGCAAACTTCCTCCAGCCTGAAAACATAATCAGTTTTGAATAAGATTGCATGTATAGAATCATATTAAATATATACTTGGTTTAAATAAATGGGCGAAAGTTAAATTGGTATCACACTTTTCTCATCGTTAATATTGTTATAATTGTTTTCTTTTCTGTTAGTCAGATAGAATATGTATTACACATAATACATTTTATTAAGTAGATTAAAATCTATCACTGCACCTGAAGCCTTCCCCATCCTGATAAAATGCAGGATGATCCCTCAGCCACATCCTTCGAGGCCAATTGGATTGGTTGAACTTTTTCATTGAAAGAAATTGCTCTATCGACAAGAATTACAGCCACGTCGTTAACCAACAACATCGAGTTGAATCCCGAATGGGTCAAAATTTTTTCCGCATTGTAAATAGTTCCAGCTTCGCTCAAACGGTTTGTGCCAGCATGGACGGTTACTCTGCTAGGCGATTGCCTGTAAGTAGATGATAATAATATTAATGGAGCTGTATATAAAAAAAGAAACAAAATAATGTGAAGATTATTATTTGTTACTCGTACACTTTTGCCAGTAATTGTATCCAACAATGTAAAAATTAACTTTGAATTGATGGTATTTACTAGGGTAGAAACTTGAATTTAACCATTGCAATTCTATAGATCATTGAGTTTAATTATTACAATATACGTTGCATTGCAATCAATATTAAACTGTGATAGATATCTAACGAAAATTGTTATTTTTTCTGGTTAATAGCGATCCATATAATGTTTTATTGTTAGATCGAAATGGAAACATACCCTGTGACGCAATGAGCTGCAGTGAGGATGTAGCGACTATTCAGTATGGATCCACCACAGAAATGGTTATTATTTTGTCTAAGAGAAACTTGGTACGGAAACCCTCCAGCTGGTGCATCTTTGCCACCGACGATCTGAGTTCCAGGGAACCCTAAATTAGAAAAATCACACTATTTTTAGTGTTATCCTCTATAATCTTATCTTTTATCTGAATACCACAGCTCAAACTGCAGATTTACTTTTACTCGTTTCTTTTCAGCATTGCACATCAAGCTACGCTAACTTAAATTGATACATCAGAGTGCGTTTAATCATAAAAGAATTTCAAAGTTTTCACAATGGTAGATTCTTTCGTAAGGAAATTCGAAACATTATCTCAGTAGTTTTTTTTGGTACTTACCGTAAGCCGTGACTGCGAGACAAAGTACGAGAAGGATGTTGAGAGCGTACATGATTGTGGGTATCCCAATACTGCAATTGACAACTGCATACATCAATTTATATACGCTCCGCAGACAGATGTTGCATCGATAACGATAAAAGAAATATTAAATGTTCACCTTCGATGAGATTAAATACAGATACAAATGACCAAAATAACAATATTTAAAAATACGGTTACTTCGACTGCCACAAGGTGAAATCCATATGGCCGCGTATTAGATTTCCTTTTGATTAAATCTCGCCAAACGATAGTTTTAGTTCTCACTAAACAACAATAGTACTTGTAAAAGTAAACGGCGATAATAAACAAAGAATTCAGAAATATATTAATGAACAAATTCAACGTAAAACCTTACACAGAAATGCGATATAATGAAACTTAGATTCGGGTCAAAATGGACCCCGAGTCCACCGTTCGAGAATTTGATGCTTTTGTTGCAACATTCCTTTGCTAGAAAGAAGATATATGACGTAGTTTTTGTTTTCATCTAAAGATAATACTTCAGTTTTTTTTACGTTATACGTCATTAGTTTCTAAGATACCTACCTCAAAGCTATCTAGTGTATCTTTTGTAGTCGTTCGGAAGAAAATTACGATGTTCGTTTTTTACTTCGTTAAAGATAAGATTCGTTCGCGACACATCCTGGAGAAACTTTCTGAGAAACAAAGGGAGCGAATCGACATTTTCGAATCTGTTGTATAATTAAAATGAGGGTTGAAGATTTTTGTAATATCTCGTACACGTGTAACGAAGTAAAAAATGTATCGAACAAGATACCAGTCAGTAGTTACAATAGTGTCAATATTATAAGACTAGAGATTTCGATAAAATCAAGATTAGAGATTGACGGCTCGAGACGTTATCACGATTTTAAGAAGTGGTCTTAAAATTGATTCGTCTGAGATATGTAATCGCTTTGTCCGTCATGCGTATCAATAATCAATTTCAAATCGAAGACGCAGTTTATAGTATCTCGAAAGTGATTTATCATAGAAACATAATGTCTACCGTTTATCAGGGATTTCTTTCAGTAGCGCGTAAGTATTCGATCGGAACGTGTGCTACGAGTAACTTCAAAAAATTTCTATTTACATATTTATGTAGCAGAAACAATTTGTACACTTGTATGATTTTACTTGTTTCAAATTATTGAAAATATCAGACTATATTGAAATGTTTTATTCGACACAAATGTCGAGTAACCAAATGATTTTTATTCAAAGAAATTACTAGTGGTGCGTTGTAACAAATGAACACGATTCAATTTAGAAAGTGAAGTTTTCATATCCGTAGTTTTAGTTTAACTAAATCATATTCTAACGACTGAATAAAAAGAATTGTCTTTCTTTAAACGCGTATCTGAAGATCAAAGATTCAATGCGTGTTTTTTAGATTTCGATTTAGCAAGTCATGTGATCGCAATTATGAAGATGATAACAATTGCTTTACAAAGAATTTGATGTTACACTTGGATGATAATTTAGGAGTGAAATTACTCTTACAAATTGAGGGCTGGAAAGCTGTTAAGTTAAATAAATCTAAAATAAATAAAGACAGAAGAAAATGTTAACTATGAATTTTACTTGGTTTTAGAAATCCTGACGAAATATAAGTAGAGTACATTTTTAACAAATATTTCTCGTACAGAGTAATTTTCATTTTTGACAATTCGTTAGTACAAATAATAAAACAGCGTTCAGAAGTATGTACTTTTTCCAAATTACTGGGAAATGAAAACAGCGAACTCTATTCAGAGCGAACACAGTATATCATATAGTTGTGTATAGAGCTTAACGGATTAATTTTTCGGTTGAAAAATCTGGAGTTTTGGATTTTAATTGCTTTCTTTCTTTCACAAAATGAAATTCGTGCATATGATTTGATGCTCATGATTTCAACCGATGTATTGTGAACAATTGGCCTTGTTAATTGTTCATCTTGTGCTTAATTACTTCTCAAATACATTTTCAACAATATTTATTGCAAATATATAGAGTGAGTCATCTAAATTCTTTATTACACGACAAATGTTTGAAATAAAAGATGTATCGTGTCAAATGAGACGTAGAGCAGAATAATTGTAGCTTGATAAGATAAATAAAGTTTTTTATTATTTTACGTTTTTACCAAGGTATGGTCATCTTTCGTTTGTTAAATCGACCATGTAACGGCTAACAGTACAATTTGCAGAAGTTTATATCCTCAAGTGTCGTTGATGGCTCGAAATTAATTTCATTTTTCTAGAAGGTCCACAAGAAAGCAATCAAGCGGTATCAAGATCCAATCCATCAATTATGTACATTTTCTAATTAGCCATAGCATACAAGATGCTTTTTTTTTATCTTGCATATCTCACTATCTTCGTTATTTATTGTAAAATAAATAAATTTTTACAGTAACTCAAATCTTTAGAATTTTTTAATTGCCTTTTAACTAGAGAGACGTTAACTCTTATGTTAATAATTAAGTCTCCGGGGAACCCTTTCCAATATTTTATTTTCATTGAAATATCACCAAGTGAATCTGGATCCTCATTGTTTGATAAAATATTTTTTTCACGCGTGGTTTAATTCTTTAAATTAATTTCTCACGTGGACAAAGGGAAAGAACGTTATTTCTCCATTCTTCCGGCAGACGCTATCGTATACTGCGATGCGTATTTCATTGAATCCAATCGTTAAACTTTTCTTCAGTTATCGATGATAATAACGGATATTTGTACATTTATAAACATAGGAAAACACAGTTAATGTATAAAACATGTTTTACTCCAGACAAACACGGATATTTATTATAGTCCAACAGAAACCATCAGTATAATCAAACAAGTTAGACATCAATGGGTTCTACAGCAATCTCAGGCTCTTCCATGTCATCGTCTTGAAGAAGAGTTTGCTGTTGCTTGATCCAGGACAAGAATGACGTTACTCTCGTGTATACGTCAGGGCTTCCAATACCGCATGGTCGTCCAAAGGATACGATACCGATTTGTACACCATTTGCAACAAGGGGGCCACCAGAGTCACCCTGTAACATAACAAAGAGACATTTAATATTTTATATATCGAGATAGTCAGAATAGATTTTTTCCCAAATTCTGAGAAGGTTCCAAATATTCACTATTTTTCTGATAAATGGATTTGAGGAAATAGGCGACAATTAAACTTACGTTGCATGCTCCTTCTCCGTATTTGGTGAATGTGCAGACATGAGAATCACGCAGATTTATGTGGGTTTGTTTGCACTTTGCCTGGCCCTCAACACGCAGGTTAATGTATTGCAAATTGTCGGGCAGATTTCCTCCGGCCTAAAAACAAGATCAGTATTTAACATTAAATAGATATTAGATATACACACACTTTTCTTGTTGATGAAATTCTTTCGAAATACACTGTTTGGTAGGTCATACTTTACACTCGACTATTTTTGTGATTTTATTTGCAAAGTGCATTAAATAAGTGTTTCATTGGTAACCTCTTTGTTTATAATGAATTTAAATTATAATATACACAGGAGTTTATTTTTCACTGGCTATAATGTAGCTATTAAGTTAAAGTATTAAAAATATGTTACTGACCTTGAGCGTTCCCCATCCTGATAAAACACAGGCTGATCCTTCAGCTGCATCCTTCGTGGCCAATGTAATCGGTTTAACGTTTGCAGTGAAAGTAATTGCTCTATCGACGCGAATCACAGCCACGTCGTTGACCAGCAACAGGGAGCTGAATCTTTGATGGGCCGAAATACTTTGCGCTTTATAAACAGTTCCAGATTCTCTCAAATGGTTTGTACCGGCGTGGACGGTGATACTGCTAGGCGATTGTCTGTGAAAACAAAATTGCAAAGATTAGTATACATAAACGTGCAAGATGCAGATGTATCGTTCAGATGAAAACGGAATGAAAATAAAAATCTAGTAGTTGAGTTTGAATTCGCGATATTTCAGTATTTCAACTTGATTGTAATCTTTGAAACTCTTTGGACAATTGAATGTTATTCACACAATATATTTAGTATTATATCGTGTATTAAAATTAATTTTATATTCGCTAGGTTTTAGTAAAACAAATCTGTCCTGTTTTGTGAGCATTGCATGTATGAACAAATCGAAGCAAAATTAAATGGTATAAATGTAAAAAGTTACTTGTAACACGTGATCAAATGTTAAGAGTACAATTTAATATGTAAAAATACGAGTTTTGCTATTTCAATATGGTAATTTAATTGATGGATTGGATAGCATAATTCGTAAAACATACCCTTTGACGCAATGAGCTGCTGTGAGGATATAGCGATCATTGAGTATGGATCCACCACAGAAATGGTTTCCATTTTTTCTAAGAGAAACTTGGTAAGGGAACTGTCCAGCATCTGCATCCTTGCCACCGACGATTTGGGATCCAGGGAACCCTAAATTAACAAAGTTAATTATTAGTCTTTTCTATATAATCTTGACTTTTGCATATTGTTCCTCCCTTTTATTCACTTATTTTGAGCGTTTCGCGCTCGAGACTAAAAAACAGTGTTAGCAAACAATAGTTAGGGTCAGTTTGAGCAGTTGAGGATATTGTTAGGATAATTAAGTCTATTAACTCTTGTTGCTTGAATTATTTTGGTACGTTTGACTAGACGAAAACACCACGAGTGTTTGATCACATTCAAATTATGTGGAATAATTTTGTCATTTAAATGTGTTTTTTTTGTATTTGATTTTACTCACCGTACGCCGTGACTGCCAGACAAAGTACAAGAAGAATGTTGAGAGCGTACATGGTACCTGAAATCCCAATACTGTAATTTTTCAGCGACGCGTACCAATTTATATAAGCGCCGCGAATATTTTTTGTACCGATAAGAATAAATGAAATATTCGATTTTTATCGATACCGAGGTAAATAAAGCTGCAAATAACAACAATCATGATACTTAAAAATCCAGCAGCTTTGATTGGTAAAGACAAGGTCTAAAATCTATATCGCCTGTATCAGATTTTCTGCGGATTAAGGAAGCAATAAGTCTCAAAATGATTGTGGATTTTATATATTTCTTACAATTTTTTAATCTACATCGTTTGTTAAAACATTTTATAAGTACCTCCCCATAAAATTATTAATTTATATCTAATGGGAAAGTATAGTCAGGAAACTGAATTATCATATGCAGCTTCTCAGTTTGGAAACAAGTTGTTTCGAAACTCTACGTTAACAAAAATAAACGAAACACGATACAGAGTTTAAGCTTTGTCTAAAATGTCTTTTTGTATACGTAGCTTCTATTTTAGTTTATTATAATTTTCGACTTGTTTTAATGAGAAAGCGTACGTCGAATAATTCTACATTCACCAGGTAGATGCCAGCACGGGGTGAGATGAGCGTTGCTTTGAATCTGCATTAATTGCCATGGGACACCCTGTATATGTACAAGATAGAAGTATGAATCAGCTGAAAACAATTGTACAAATAATTTATATAGTGTTGAATTGTGGACTTGTACTGTTTTAAATCTCATGGTTTCAATTGTTTTCACTCACTATAATATTTTAACACACATAAACTCATTAATTTTTTGTTGGTGATTCAAATTATCGGTCTTCTTGATTCGTGAATTTTGAATCATATAAAATAAAATGTATATAATGCAAGTCATATGCATTTTTTGAATTATGGAAAGCTAAACGTTATTGTAAGTATTATCATATTTGAATAAACATCTATAATAGAATGGTATCATAATTTAATAGTTGAATGTGAAATATATACGTTTGGTATAGTTTCAATAAATAGCAGACATCGGTTGATCAAATTTCAGTTAATCATACAAATCGTTTATCAATTGTTTGATCAAGATCGTAAGTGACATTCGATTATAGTTTAAAGGACATCTTTAATCGAAGTATTTCTTATTAAAACGTGACATTGATAGTAGTTTCTATTTTGTGTACAAATAATATTCGACTTTCCTATATGCTGTGTCACTGATTCGAAGATAACTCAAGATAAAATTATCAGGAATTTCGTTCGTGATTAGAATTAAATACAATTGAATGACAGTGGTATTAATATTTCATTTATTATTCCACTCAATTGTATTAGGCATATTTTTTGACACTATTTCACATACACAATAAACATGTAACTATTTACTTAACGTGTAAAGGATCTTTATCATTTATACACTCTTCAATTGCATCAGTATGTTTGATAGTTATCAAAGCTGTTGTAAAAATCGTTTACATAGTATAGATAAGAAACAAAACTATAAGAAACATAAATATCCAAGCCTTAAACCTCCGCAAAGACAATTATAATCCTCTACTCTTTGCACTAGGAGCTAAGGATTATTTACGATTTTCGAAATCTATAACTGATTATCTGTCGAAGTGTCTAGAAACAATGTTTGTAGATAGGCATGATATGCAAGTTTAATCATACTTTAATATTTCGTTAATCCAAATATAGAAACAGCCAATTCGTGTGAGAATTGTTTGCAATCAGTTGACATTCGATAAAACACAATGCACGGTATCGCGAAGACGATTTTGTGAGCGAGAAGAAAATCAAGAGAGCGGAGGCTTCGAAGGAGACGTAATATCTAACGTCAACAGTCAGCCACATCGAGAAAGGACTAATAAGTATAGCGGTGGCAAGTAATTTCGTTCATTGTGTATTCTGCAAATGAATATATCCAGCCGGTTCCTGGTAATTCTCAGAGCATCCAGGGGGATTTCGTGTCCCTAAGGATCAGAGGAGAAGGCGATTGCGAATAACAAGAACCCTTCGTCTGCCACGAGTCTTGATCCTGTTAACGGGATCATCCGAGCACCACCGATAGAATCAAACACCGTGAGATAAAACTAAACTCCCTTGAACTTCTCTTTCGTTGTTGTTCGTCGCTGGGTCAATCGAAACTGTATTTATTTTAGTTTCAAAAAATGGTCCATCTTCCTTAATACTCTTCTATAAGCAGCGTAGCAAAGACAATGTCGATTTCCATACATTTTATCTTTGATTTATAAACGTTGTCAATATACAAAATTTCAGATAAAATGTTGATTTCTAAAGATTTTATTGCTCGATATTCTTGGAGACCAAACTGAAAAGAAATGTTCAATAATAAAATATGCTTATATTTAACGTTCATTTAAAGCCTCGTGTAATGAAATCAAAACAAGTAAATATGATATTACATATAATTGCTGTTTATCGTAAAAAATCTGTGTTTCAAAATAATTGAAACAGGAAATAGTTATAGAGGACTTCGAAAAAAGTATTTATTACGATTATATAGACTATTGTAGGCAAGAGAGTATTCGTAGAACGGTTTGCAAATCAGATTTCCCGGCATTAGGCCGATTCGTAATGCTCGGTCACCGTATTTACATATGCATATCATTTGTCGTATCACAGGGGAGAAAGCTCTGTGCTGGTAATATCCCACAGGACTCTCCATATATCCAAATCGCATTACTGCGCTGCCTATTTCGTGCTAAGGTACGTCGTGGACGATTTGATATGCGTGCGCTATAACCGAGTTAACAATCCGCTATGACAGATGGTGATCCGAACGATTTTCGGGGCTCTCTATTACCGTTCCATCGATGCGTTTCCGGTCTTCGTGTAGCCGCAATTAGAGTGCATTTTAGAGAATTTTAGATCCACTCGATTCGCATATTCGGCTAGAAAATATTTATTTTTCTGGGCAAACATAATTCGAGGCGTTTGAGGGAGTAAGGGTGAACCCAATTTCATAAGAGTGAACACAAGAAAAATAAAAATAATTAGTAATGCGTTAGAGTAAAATGAGGTACAAGACCTTTTTGTTCCAAACGCCTCGATTGTTGGACTTTCTAGGGCACAATAAGCTACATTTGACACGCTTCAAGTTGTAACATTTCTTTTCAGAGTGTAATGTTTTAAAGTTATGGTATGAAAAGCACGAAAACAAAACATTGTTACAGTTTAACAAATGCATTTTATCAAGCTTGATGAACATAGTTTGCAGAGCTCTGAGAAGTTCAGAAATTACACTTACAATGATACCAAACAGAGTAAAGAGTAAAATTGATTTTCTATCATAAATGAAATCCAGAAATAAAATTTTATAATGCAATCTTTCCTGCAACTAATTAATATCTTGTATAATTCGAATGGATATACTTATCTTTTATTTTATTGCAATAAAGACGTATTATTGTTATCGCCATTTTTTTTTTTTCGTAATGCCATAAGCTACTAGCACTTTGTGGCGTGATACAGATTATTCTGAAGTATCAGTGCTTTCATCACGGTTGATTCTACTAAGCTAACATTTTCTCACGTGACATATATCTAAATGTTTCATCAATCTTGGAAGAGTTTACTGCTTTCCATAATTCGTAAACAGAATTATATTATTTGCAATTGCCACAAAATTGTTTTAGAAGTGTCATCCAGTTATTCATAGAGCTTCATTAAAATTTCAAGTTTATTCTACCAAGCAAGCATCTTCTTATGTGACATGTATGAATTGTCTTACAAGTGTCATCCAATTGTTCATAGAGCTTTATGAATCTCTTACGTTTCATATATCTAAATGTTCCATCAAGCTTTAAAGACTTTCCTTCACTGCCATTTCCATAATTCGTAAACAGAATTATATTATTTGCAATTGCCATGAAATTGTTTTAGAAGTGTCATCCAGTTATTCATAGAGCTTCATAAAAATTACGAGCTTATTCTACCAAGCAAGCATCTTCTTATGTGACATGTATGAATTGTCTTACAAGTGTCATCCAATTGTTCATAGAGCTTTATGAATCTCTTATGTTTCATATATCTAAATGTTACATCAAGCTTTAAAGACTGTCCTTCACTGCCATTTCCATAATTCGTAAATAGAATTATATTATTTGAAATTGCCATAAAATTGTTTTAGAAGTGTCATCCAGTTATTCATAGAGCATCATAAAAATTACGAGCTTATTCTACCAAGCAAGCATCTTCTTATGTGACATATATGAATTGTCTTACAAGTGTCATCCAATTGTTCATAGAGCTTTATGAATCTCTTATGTTTCATATATCTAAATGTTCCATCAAGCTTTAAAGACTTTCCTTCACTGCCATTTCCATAATTCGTAAACAGAATTATATTATTTGCAATTGCCATGAAATTGTTTTAGAAGTGTCATCCAGTTATTCATAGAGCTTCATTAAAATTTCAAGTTTATTCTACCAAGCAAGCATCTTCTTATGTGACATGTATGAATTGTCTTACAAGTGTCATCCAATTGTTCATAGAGCTTTATGAATCTCTTATGTTTCATATATCTAAATGTTCCATCAAGCTTTAAAGACTTTCCTTCACTGCCATTTCCATAATTCGTAAATAGAATTATATTATTTGAAAGTGCCATAAAATTGTTTTAGAAGTGTCATCCAGTTATTCATAGAGCATCATAAAAATTTCGAGCTTATTCTACCAAGCAAGCATCTTCTTATGTGACATGTATGAATTGTCTTACAAGTGTCATCCAATTGTTCATAGAGCTTTATGAATCTCTTACGTTTCATATATCTAAATGTTCCATCAAGCTTTAAAGACTTTCCTTCACTGCCATTTCCATAATTCGTAAACAGAATTATATTATTTGCAATTGCCACAAAATTGTTTTAGAAGTGTCATCCAGTTATTCATAGAGCTTCATTAAAATTTCAAGTTTATTCTACCAAGCAAGCATCTTCTTATGTGACATGTATGAATTGTCTTACAAGTGTCATCCAATTGTTCATAGAGCTTTA